AAAAAAAAAGAATGGTATGAATTATAGCTATATTTTACTAGAAGTCATTATAGTAATAATGATAGTTACCCACATATATACATACACACACACACACACACACGCACAGATATAGCACCTACTAGGAAGTAGGTATGTTACACACATAACTCTAAATTTCCATATTGTCTGAGGTACCAGTATTTGATGCCCATTGTAAAGACTAGGAAACTGGGGCTTAAAAGTTGACTTTTGATGGCTCAATAAGTTGAACTAGGATCAGAGGACAGGCCTGCCTGGCTTCAAAACAAATACTATTTCCACAAACCACACTGCCTCCTTGTACAGGACAGTTATTTTCTTCGCTTGAAACGGACCTAAATATTGATTATCATATATCAGTTTGTGAAAATACCGACTGAGCCTTGGTGTTTGCTACACATTATATGGCGTGGACTTCTAACCTGAGCACTCAGATCTAAAACGAAGCTGAATGACTTGAGGTTAAACAAACAAAATGATCATAGGTAACAAGAAAACTGGCCACAGTGGCTGGTTGGTTTTACCTGCTGCTGTTCTGAAAGGTAGAGGCCTTCCCAGCTCACAGACATTCAATTATGCTCTGCCTCTCCAAGAAATGCCCTGAGATGCTGTCCACCTACGACAAAGATTCACTTGTGTGCATTTTTTTTTCTTTCTGTTTTTTTTGAGATAGGGTCTTGCTTTGTCATCCAGGCACAATCATGGCTCACTGCGGCCTTCACCTCCTGGGCTCAAGCAATTTTCCCACCTCAGAGCCCCCATCTTTTTGGGATTACAGGCATGTGCCAGCATGCCCAGCTAATTTTTGTATTTTTTTGCAGAGATAGAGTTTCACTGTATTGTTCAGGCTGGTCTGGAACTCCCAGGCTCAAGCAATCTGCCCACCTTGGCCTCCCAAAGTGCTAGAATTACAGGCAAGAGCCACTGTGCCTGGCCACAAGTGTTTTTTGTTGTTACTGTTTTTAAGAAACAGAGTCTGTGGTCGGGCACGGTGGCATATGCCTGTAATCCCAACACTTTGGGAGGCCAAGGCAGGCGGATCACGAGGTCAAGAGATTGACACCATCCTGACCAACATGGTGAAATCCCATCTCCTCTAAAATACAAAAATTAGCCGGGTGATGTGGTGAGTGCCTGTAGTCCCAGCTACTCAGGAGGCTGAGGCAGGAGAATCGCTTAAACCTGGGGGGCGGGTGGAGGCTGTGGTGAGCCAAGATTGTGCCACTGCACTCTAGCCTGGCGACAGAGCAAGACTCTGTCTCAAAAAAGAAAAAAGAAAAAAAAGAAAAAGAAACAGAGTCTCTCTGTCACTCAGATTGGAGTGTAGTGGCATGATACTAGCTCATTGCAGCCTCAAACTCCTGGGCTCAAGGAAACCTCCCAAAGCACTGGGATTACAGATGTGAGCCACCATGCAGGGCCATATAAGCATTTTTTGAATTCTTTTCAAATTGCCTTCAGTTTTGAGTCAAGTCTCCTAAAACCAGTCTTATTACGTAGTAGGCATTTCTTATTTAGACTCAGTTTGATCCTCACTCTATTACTTCTATCCACTTCCTAAAAACAAACTATGATAGAATTAAGACTTCCCACAATAGCATCTATCTCAGAGTTGGAGCCAAAGGCCCTTCAAGAAATTCTCCAAATGAGTGTTTTCCAAATGCTTGGAGAAATCCATCCCAAGACTAGGTATACAGTACTCCAGACGGTTATTTTCAAGTGGACAACATCTGGCTATAATTCATTTTGGTGCATTTGTTAAAAAGTCAGACTGTAACTTACAGCTTGCAGTTAACTGATAAACTACAGAGAGGAAATCTTTGCATCTCAGCTGGTTGCTGCTGACTGCCTTACTCCTGACACAAACAGACATGACTTAAAAGGTTGGAAAACAGGGATGGCCTGCTCAAGAAAGAGCATCTGAGCTTCTGCCTGCACTGGTCAATGGAAACCTGTGTTCTCCACCATTTCTAAGGCCTTCAAACTCAGCAATATCATCAACAATGGAAGTTTCCTCTGCTGTCCAGAAAAGAAGCTCCAATTTAAAAGTATCAACTGAGAGCCCTCACCTGCATGCTTGTGGGGGTGTTGAAGACTCCGCTGGCCTTGAGGGCTGCTTCCCTGTTGTAAGAAGAGGGCCGCGCCTTTCACCATGAAAAAGCTCTCGCTTAAGCTGGGAAGGATAAGACCAGAGCACAGTTAGACTGGAATTCAGAGAGGAAAACGAGCAAAGACTTACTGCAGGAGAAAAAGCTTTTGCGTGGACAAATGGCATGTAAAATGCAAACAGGATGAAACTGCTTTTATAATAATTCCATACAGTTCTCTTCCCAAACCTTGCCTTTGCTAAAAGCTTGCTACTGGAGAATTTTTGTGACAAAGTAATGCTTCTGTGACAACACCCAAAGTTCTATGTAGGCTCTCCCAGGGGCAAGGGCCCCTTTCTGCAGAATACTGGACAGGGATCTCACCATAATATAACATTTTCTTCTTCTTCTTCTTCTTTTTTTTTAAGATACAGTTTCACTCTGTCATCTAGGATGGAGGGCAGTGGTGTGATCTCGACTCACTGCAACCTCTGCCTCCTGGGTTCAAGCGATTCTCATGTCTCAGCCTCCCCAGCAGCTGGGATTACAGGTATGTGCCACCATGCCTAGCTAATTCTTGTATTATTAGTAGAGATGTGGTTTCACCATGTTGGCCAGGCTGGTCTCAAACTCCTGACCTCATGTGATCCACCTGCTTCAGCCTCCCTGAGTGCCAGGATTACAGGCTCGAGCCACCACGCCCGGCCATGGCATTTTTTTAGAGAACAACTCTCTGATTAGGAGAGGGTGGGCTACCTTATGAATTCTCATGCTCTTGCTGTTGATCTCTACTTCTAACTCCCTGGCTTTTAACAACTCCATTGTTTCTTGGTGACTTCCCTTGATGGACTGCAAGATGAAATTATACTTTCATTAGATGTTTGCATTTTAAGAAAAGTAAAGACAGCGGGGTGGCTCAAGCCTGTAATCGCAACACTTTGGGATGCTGAGGTAGGCGAAACACTTCAGGTCAGGAGACCAGCCTGGCCAACATGATAAAACCCCATCTCTACTAAAAACACAAAAATTAGCCAGGTGTAGTGGCGCCTGTAGCCCCAGCTACTTGGAAAGCTGAGGCACAAGAATCGCTTGAACCTGAGAGGCGGAGGTTGCAGTAAGCCAAGATCACGCCACTGCACTTCAGCCTGGGTGACAGAGCAAGACCCTGTCTCAAAAAAAAGAAAAGAAAAGAAAAGAAGTAGGTGGCTACTGGCCTGTGATTTAACTTAGTCAAGGTTGCCCTTCCCACTATTCTTGCAGAAAACCTCAAGTTGACCCAACGAATTTCTCAGCAGAATGGATCTTTTTGGCCTTTGTTATTTTAGCTAACAATAACATTTATATCTAACCTACAAATTTAAAAATTACAATTAAAAAATTTGTATTTGGGAGGCTGAGGTGGGAAGATCATTTAAGTCGAGGGGTCCGAGATCAGCCTGGGCAACACTGTAAGAACCCGTTGTACATCATGACTTGGCTATCAAGTTTAGCTTTTGCAGAAATTAAGACATTAAAAAAAGAATGCCTCAGCTATGAATTACTATCAATTGTTCAAAAATACCATTAACTCTCAAAATTATGCCTAAAATACACCAATTTTTTGGGGGGTGGGGACCAAGTCTCACTCTGTCACCCAGGTTGGTGCAGTGTTGCAATCTCAGCTCACTGCAACCTCTGCCTCCCAGGTTCAAGCAATTCTCCTGCCTCAGCCTCCCGAGTAGCTGGGACTACAGGCACATACCACCATACCTGGCTAATTTTTTATTTTTTGGAAATATGGGGTTTCACTATGTTGGCCAGGCTGGTCTCAAACTCCTGACCTCAAGTGATCCGCCTGCCTAGACCTCCTAAAGTGCTGGGATTACAGGCATGAGCCACCACACCCGGGCAAAATACACCAAAATTAACAACAGCTTTGCAGGGAGTTGGGGAGGAGAGGGAATAGATTATCTTCTATTTAGTATTTTCCAAATGTTCTATATTAAGCATATATTAACTTTTTAAAACATCTATTTTTGTTTGATTCTCAAAATAATATAAAAACAATAATATAGAACACATACTACACTTTATAATTTAGAAAGGAACATACTACTCTCAATGATTTTGTGAAACAAGGTCACAGTTCAAACTGTAGGCAACTATAAAAATATCTCTCTTGAACAACCAATTAATATATACATGATGTGATGGGAAAAATCCCTATGAAAAAGCAGTCTTCTAATTAAAGAGAACCTTGAAATTATGCAAATCAATTCCTGACAGAAAGAAAGGATGTTTTCTACAATCACCTTTGCCCCAGACATCAGATATTCATAGTTAAATATTTGTATTCTGGAATAACAAACTCAGCAAAACCTAAAGTATGACACCAGGTGCCAAGAAAACGCCACGTAAACTAGCATTTCCAATCAACAGCTCCTGAAATCAGGAAAACTGTTATGTTCTACGATATTAAGTCCACAATAAAATCTGTTAGTTTTTCTGGTTAAACGCTCATGCTAAAAATAGTGACTGCTCAAATATTAAATAAGAAGACTTCGTTCTGCTTCTCTTGTTCAGTCCTTTGAATTCCAGACAATCGGTTTTCTATGCCTTGTAATACCAACACTTGACACGTGACAGCATTTCACCTGCTATTGCAGACGCACGGCCGAGTCATCTTTTCCTCCCTTTCACAGTCGCATATTTCTACTGCAAGGTTCAAGTGTTGAGGAGCCCAGGATTATAAATAATGAAAGAAATGAGAAGCGCCTTTCTTTGCTGTCTCATCCTCACTCACAGGAAGCAAAAGCTCTTTAGCATCCATCTGGCCGATGTAAGACCCAGGCGGTCTCATTTCACAGGCTGCAGAATCACCTAACCCTTTCCATCCATACAGCTTGTCCCTTTCTCCTTCCTCAGAATTTTGCAGCCAAGTTATGTTTTCAGAACTGTTCTTAGACACAGATCACTTACTATTTATTCTCATCACAATGTGAAAGAGCTACGTAAGAGGCTCCAAACTCATGAAACCTAAAACAGCCATTAGTTCATCAAAGCAGATGGGGAGATCCTTTTGAGACATCAACTGCTTTTGTTCATGAGATTAAAAAAAAAAAAAAAATTCATACTGACCAGAAATCCAAGCACTCTGGAAAGAGCCAACCATTAACGATGACCTTTGCCTTGGAAACCATGGGCAAAAATTCCCCTTGGTTTCCCTTACATTTCCTTTGGAAAAAAAAAAAAAATGAACAATGCAAAAGACTAGGTTGGTTTCACCCTGTGACCACTGACAGGGCTGGCTGTTCCTCCTCCGTGTTCCTACACTGATAAGAATCAGGGCCTCCCGCTCTACGCATGAAGTCGGGGGTCAGGATTGATCGGGGCCCTGGAACACTCTGCCTCTGTTCCCCCACAACAATCAGTAACAGGCGTTTACTGTAAAAAGCAAGACTGGAAACTGCAGGGAAGCCCGAGAAGCAGCGCATTATCTTGAGGCTGTTGAGATCACCCTGTGTCCTGCAAATACAGTAAGGGACACAGCCAGAGGAAACTGCACAACACGACTCTCAGGGGGTGGGGTGGGAGGCCGCAGAGCATGGTCAGTCACAGGATTTATGAAAACAAGATTCAAGTCTCTGTGACCTGGCTTCCCGGCTTCTCTTCTGAGCTCACTCCGGGCCCAGAGCCTCACGTGCCCTCTGCGTGGCTGATCTGCATGCTGTTTCTGACGGCCACGGCTTCTGACACCGAGAGACACAGGCTCCCGATTCATCAGACCCTCAAAGTGCCCCACTGGGGAAGTCCGTGAAGAAATCCACAATGGTGATGGCACACTCACTTTACTAGGTGCCCGGGACCAGGAAGCCCAAAGCCACAAGCCATCCATCCCAGCCATGCAGACATCAGCCTTCTCACAAAAGATCTGTGTGTCCTAAAAGGAGTGACTGAAGTTACAGAAGGTCAGACACAGGCAGACACAACGGAAATGTCTTCCTCCACTGCTGTAAGAAAATTCTTCATAAGGAATAAAAACAGTCCCTGCCCTCTCTACCCGCCACCCGCAATGCTTTTATCTCTACCACACAGATCTGTTCTCGGATACTGACTACTGCCACTCGGAAAGCTTTCTAAGATTAAAGTTTCTCCAAAGCACTGAAGACAGACAAAAACCTCAATCAATGCTCCTCAAAAAACCCTAAGCCCCAGAATATAAACAGCCAGTGTCATCCAGAGACCAAGCCATGGCAGGAGAACAGAAATCAAGGTGGTCATACGTACTAATTTGATCTGGAAACCTCTGGACAGCAGAAGTAGCGGGTTGGCCGAAGGAAAATGCAGAAGTCGGTAAAATAAAAGAGGTTCGTGGCTGCAGTGCTCATATCTCTAACGCCTCCTACAACTGCCCTTGGAGCTCTGGCCATCTGCTCCCTACGGAGATCAGGAAAGGCCGGGAGGCTGCCGAGCGCTTCCACGAGTGCTGGGGAGCCGACTCCTCCTCGGAGTCCCACCCGAAGAGCAAATGGCTCTTGTGGAACTCTTGTCTTCCTCTGATATTTTGGCTGAAAAAGGCCCTTGTCCCAGCACATCCTGATGAAAGAGGGCCATTCAGCAAAACAACTGAGGTTCCTCTAATCACTGCACTCCTACGGGCTTTTCTGTAGGCTCGAGAAACAAGCGCCAGGGTGTGCGTTCGGCATTGTGAGGGCAAACAGCTGCCCCCAAGGAACCAACCCCAAGCAACAAGATCCCCTTCCGATTCAAATCAACGTTCTGAAGGATGACTCTTTCTTTCAAATCAGCATCCATTCACCCAACAGTGATGGTGACGTGGGCAGCTGCCACAGTTATTCTGCGTGCTAAAAACACTGTTATATTCTAAAAATTCTCAGTGGCACTAACAGCTACCTGAGGGGACATGCCAGGTAGAGGGGACCACATGCACATTGATGAGGAGCTCTGGGATGCACACGGTGCCTACGGCAAGTCAGGCTGCAAAGGTCCTAAAGGGTGGAGGCGTGATCCCAAACCCTCTGGGCACAAGCCAGCCAAAAGCTGGGTTTTTAGTGCTTCTTTCAGCAAGAGAAATAAATTCAGGATG